TAAATTAGCTGCTGGTGTCACTCCCCTGCCTGCAGGGGGCGATGAGCGCCAAGATGGCCGACGTGTTACGGGATGACGGCATCTTGGGAGACAGAATATCTGTCCCCTGCCAGATACCTCTTCAAATCACCTGCTTGAACTTCTTTCTTCTGGACGGCGCCTAGAGGTTCCTCCACTGTGCCACAGGGTGTTTCGAAATGCTTCAAAAAGTTGTGGGAGGAGCCCAATGTTGGCAGCGGTTGTCTATTGGTGTGCCTGCGCTCAGAGAAGCGCTTCATTTGCTTGGCTCCCGCACGGGGACCTGGCTGCAGGAGGTGCCTGACAGCACGTGTTCCACTCTCAAGCCCCAATACGTCATTCCCGAAGACGTAAAGACATTACGACAGGATGCGTTGTTTAGTGTGCCAGTCATTCTGTAAACGTGTGTGAAGTCTGGCTTATTAATTTATACATGAATAATTACTTCATAATGTACATGTGTGGAACATCTCTCCTAACTACAGACAACACGTCTTTGCTGACTGAAAAGAAGTCTAAAGTCTAAACCAACTAACTAGTAAATAAGTGTTGCTTGGGGTCTAGTGCAGCGTCCGAGAAGTCCAGGATCTCTTTTGTACAGAAACATAGGATTTCCTGTATCAAACAGGGTAAAAGTGTTAGCTGTTTTCATGCTAACAAGCTCAAATTTGACATGTTGATGTGCACATTTTTTACATGTTAACGTAAAAAATATTCACGTCAACACGTCAATTTTCAGCTTGTTAGCGTGAAAAAGGCAATACTTTTTGACCCTTCTGGCATTGCGTAAAATGGCGTCTTATGGAATGAGGTTCGGGGGCCTGAGAGTCGCCTGGGAGCTGACAGAGGACACACGCTCTCACGCTCCTCCTGCAGCCAAATGCCTCTCAGCTTCCACACCGTGCTTTTTGTGCAAAAAGTGCTAGCGACGGGGCCGTCGCCCTGATGCTAATGGCACTGCACCCCCGCACTAACCCCCCAACGCCGCCGATTTTCCCTGGCTGCCCTCGGCACGTACAATGGTCCCGTTCCCATGGAGAGTGAGTGATTACCTGTCAAAGCGCGGCCCGTCATGGTCCATGCCCCCGGGCAGGTGGCAAGGAGGCCCAAGTGTGGCTATCAGAACGTACTTCTGCTCGCGCTTGTCGTCACGCTGCATGCGAACCGCCGCTTTTTCTGCATCCTGTCTCTCTCCGGCTTCCTCAGTGCTTAGGACAAGCCAAACTCGTTCTTCATGGTCTCATGTTTATCTTTTAAGAAAACCTCATTAATTAACTCGGCTGAATGTTTGGAATGCTTACATTTTGTTCGTGTTAGTGACTTTTTATGTTAAGCTGCATGATAGCTTGGGGGGGGGGTGCTGATGCCTTACATCTCCATGGTCTGGGGTTCGAATCTTGTGCCCCCTTTATGAGTGTGTGGGGATTGCATTTTCCCCTTTTTGTGTCGGGGGTCATTTCCAGGTCCTCTGGTTTTAAGGACATTTAGGATAATTAGTGTCTACAAATTTCTGTGTACGTTTGTATTCCATGCGCTGGACAGACTTCCTGTCTCGGGTGTCTCACTGACCTCTACCCTGTGTCACCTGAGAGAGGTTGACCCTGACCGGGATAATCGTTTTGAAGACGGATGAATGAACTTGTCACATTGATTAACACGCCAAAATCGTCATTCGAATCATTATGTTCCTGTTAACATCAAGAACAGAACCCAAAACCTGCTGAACAGACGGTGATCCTTTTTTTGTCAGTTGGTGCATATGCTGCGTAATTGCGGTCGTATTGCCTGGAATGGCACATTTTGGGGTCCGGGGGGGGGACTAAGCAGCTCTGCACTACGTCAGGCTGACGGCAGAACCCCCCCCCACGGAGCCTAAGGGGGCTGTCAGCTGTGGCACGATCGCGTCTGCTTGCAAGATTCTCTTTCATTGCAGTTCTTCATTAATCCTAGAGTTACTTCTTCCAGGATCTTGACTCAAACACTTTGACAATGCTGCCCCCCCTCCACCCTGAAAAAAAAAGAGTGACATTCTGGCACCTATTAAAAATAAGAGCTTAAAATTGAAAAATAATGTTATGCAGGAACGTCTGTGGCTTTAAAGAAAGGAATTTGTGAGCGAAAGGCGGGGGGTATATTCTACTGCCTGCAGATAACAAGAGATGACTAATGACTAAGAATATTTTATTTATTCAGTTTCATTCCTCATCACTGCATGACGGGGGCCACTCGCATTATATTTCAGTTTGAAGTGCGGCGTGTTTTTGTGCAAGGTGGCAGGCGGGAAGAACACTGATGTCTGGGGTT